AATACATCCTGTTGGCAGAAAAGGCAAAGAAATAGACGTTAATAGTAGGAATCAGCATTACTTGATTTGACGAAGATCTGCACCACCTATCAATAAATATTAAACATATTTGACGCACTAGTCTGCCGATCTAGTCATAAAAACGGAGAGATCATAGTGAAAGTAGTTAGCATTAGTTGTGATAGCTAATAAGCATCTTTACTATGGTTTTGATAGATTATACCAGGAATAAATAAAAGCGTAAAGATCCACTATTTTCATACGATGGTACAGATACTGACACTCATTATACCTATGATGAATTGGAGAAAAAGCCTTGAAGACGCAATGAAATAAATCTCGTCAGAATCCTAGAATGCAGTTTTTATCCAGGCTGGATCTCGTTTTTGCCTTCATCTCGAACAAATCAGGAACACAAGTGGGGTTCATACTATAATAATGATTAGAGGTTGTTTGACCTTGTCTTCACAACTTGGTCATATTAGCAGGAACACACCTAGTCCGGAGTCCATTGTATGCATAATTATTTCCAAACTCGGATCGTGGACGCGGTAAACTGGTAGACGTTTCGCCGGCATCGTCAGTGAGTCTTGCAACTCTTAGCACCACACTACAACTAGTCAAAGAGACATGTCATGCCGATACTTTGACCAAAGGTGTGCTAAACAGTTGTGGTATCTCCCCTTCTGCCCTCGGCTATTCACATTTCTTATATCATCCTATCACGCCGTCACTGTTACAATTTTTAGCGTGCTTATTTCCATTCTCTGTGGCGTGCCCTTTTGACCAGCTTTCATAAGAAAACTCCACACTTAACATTCCACACTGACGTTTAAACCCCCCTTCGCCCTTGTGCTAGGAATGTTGATCAGAGTCTGCCATATTGTTACGCAGTCCTCCTTCTCTAGGTCCTATCACAGTCTCTCTCTTGCTCCGTAAGATCCGTCTGCTCTCTTCCTGGTTCACGTATTTCACTCGACCCCTGCCACCCCATTTGGGCTACTTGGGGCGTTATTCGCCCTCCCCTGTGTCTGGGTGACTAATTCGAGGCTCAAGCCTCTGAGTAAGTCTCATGGTCACACCTTTGCTACATCGACCACGTCTATGGTAAAACCTACTATCAGCCAACTAGATCCAGTCTCTACCGCGTCTATCCTCTTTCTATTCCTAATACCAAATCTATGACTCGCCTTGCCTTAGTCTCTTGTATGCCGACCATCAAATGTTGTTGATTCGGTTCAATGTTGAATTTCCTGTTTAACATTGAACCAAATCAAAGCAAGCAGTACTACAACATTTGTGGGTCGGCACCCAAGAGACTAGGGCATGGCAAGTCATATATTTGGTATTAGGGATAGAAAGCGGATAGAAACAGTGGAAGCTAGAGCTATTTGGATAACAATAGTCGTTATTCAAGGATCACGTCTATGATCAAACACTTCTATTGTTAGTCAAATAACTCTATTCTCCACCGCGTCTTTCCTATTTCTATCTGTAATACCATGTCTATAACTTCCTACGTCTTAGTCTCTTGTGTGCCAACCCACAATTGTCGTGGTTCTAATTGTTTTCATTAGGCTCACTGAAGAAGTCTCCTCTTTGCTTCTGATTGTTGCTTTCTCATCCGCCTGCGATCTCTTTTCCTAAAATTAAGGATATTACCTTGATCCAGTCGTCTTCTTTTTGCTGATCTTGCTGTTGCCTGGTCTTCTCCGAGTTTGTTTAGGCAATATGCAAAGTTTTCGCTAATCCTGCCCTCTTCAAATCTCCTGTTCATTAGATTTCTCTTGGTCAGTATATCGATGGCCTCTCGGATCTTGCGTTTTCTATGTAGATTTCCAGTCGATTTCGTGCAATGTGGTCTGCTATTTCGGATCTTTTCGTATCCATGTTCATGCAGAGTCTTTGATATTCCTTGATCCGTAGGCTGAGTTTTCTTCCTGTTTCATCGATACTCTTTTGCTCACAGTTGCCGCATTTGATGCGATAAACTCCCGAGCAACCAGGTCTGTCCGTCTTCTCGTGTTGCATCGGCAGACTGGTGAAAAGTGTTTTCTTCTCCTTTCTTATCACCTTGATATTCCATTTCCTTAGAAACTGTCGCAATTTTTGGCTCAGTTCTAATGAGGGCAGGCAAGTCAACTTCTGATCTGAATTTCATAAAATCCGAGTTGAAATCTGTCCCCCCGCCCAAATCACGTTTGGGAGGCTGAGACCCAGCAGACCAATGTGGATGAGAATGGCCTTTCGCAGTGCCTAACGTGGTAAATTTCATTGCACAATCTCTTCAATTTATTGTAGGTTGAACGGCTATTACTACTCGTAGAACCATGCAAAAATGTAATACTTCGTCACTAGATGATAAGTAAATGGGATGAAATGGCAGAGGCCAAGTTCAAATAGGGCGACAAATTATTATTTTCTATTTTGCAGATTCAAGTAAGTCCTAAAGCGACCATGGGCACAGAGTACTGTGGCGTAACATGATAAATACCAGAATATAGAGTGAATACTCTTTTGGCATGTTGCTTGACACAGGTGGCCTTTATTATCCAGAATAACGAGCTAAATAACCTTGCTAAAAACATTAGGCCAACATAATTAGATGGCCGGTACAGAAATGATGACATAAGAGAATAGCGACTCTATAAATTTGGCCTGACCTATATTTTTATTAGTTTATCAGATTACTTCATAAAGGCTTTCAGTCTATTACCGAATATTCCCGATTACTTCTTCCCGTAACTGCTTTCATGTTCTTTCTCTGAGATTCTCTAGGCTGCTTTTGACAATCATTGGTAAATGTAAAAATGAATGCCTTCTGTCACCAGTCGACAATACGGAATGGTCTGATAGGAATGTATTGTTAGATTGGGAAACCAGCTTACAACGAAAGATAATGCATCTGGAGAAATTGCCAAAGATTCATGCGATTTTAGTCACTCACAAAAAACGAAGCAACAGTTCTACATTTAAGGAGAATTCTCATTTAGTTTAAAAATGTGAAACCAAAGGATTTATGTATTGGGTTCATCTTAGAGACGAAAGTAGATCGCCCTTGTTCTATTAGAGATTCCTTTTAGGATTAAGGCAATGTACTAAGGCTTTCTAATTTGTTCTTATGAAAATCAGATTTTGATGATTCTAAAGCAGAGGCCCGAGTAAGTAGACAGGCTACAAGAACAAACATGTGCTCACACACAAGCAAATGCTGCCCAAAAGATAATGATCATGCACACAAGTGGACAATTTTTCAACCAGAGCAAATCGTGTCTAATAAATATGAAGTAAGATCTTTGTTGTTATAAAGGCATGATCAGAAGGTTGCTTGCTCTGAAGGTGTTTAACGCATAGCAGGCAAAAGTCTATTAACAGGGGAGCACGTAGTCCTTAGAAATCGGGTATAACTGCGAAAATTGGCTTATATAAATGACCAGCAGACCAAGGATCCTTTTTTGCATAGGCAGATCAACTGAGCCCTTCAGTGACATTCTCAACTTGAATACACCCTAGATGGATCAAGGTGATTTACGAACAGGTAGTTGGTTTTCCCACAATGAGGTAAGTAGGCCTCAAGATGCCAATGAATTTTACTTATGCTTGATTCCCAAAAGGCTACCTCATTCAAGGTAGAATGCAGTTTCAAAATCGTGAGGGCCGCCGATCTCATTGTGGGAAAACTCAACTTATAGTTATTAAATCACCTTAAGTGATCTACAGTGACCAAGTTCTTATTAAGGAAATAATTATATTATCGAAAACTACTTATATCGAAAGTAAAAAGCAATAATCCTCAAAGGAGTACCAAAATTTGGATTCTATCTATGCGAGCTCAGCATTATAGTATGTGAGAATCAGCTGCAGCAGGTATCGGAGTCATTTGTGCAATATCCACAGCGTTAAACGATACAAAAGGAGTGACCCCACACATGACACCGTAAAACAGCAAAATAGTTGTACAAACCAGAGAAAAAAGATGATGAGCTGAATTTTTAACGCTCATCAAACTTTATTTGCAATTTATTCAGTCGTTTTATTTAACGCAAATCTATAGCAGTGGAAAACGAGGTTAAATCTGACCTCGTAAAGTTCCTACATATTGGTTGGAGCTTCAAGTCCAGTGAATTGAAAGACATGAAACATTGACTAAAAGTAGCGGCGAGTATATCAGTGGTTTAATTGGTTTAAACCATTTGTTACCGGTCTATTATTTATTTGTCATTTATATATTCATTTACCCCTAATGTATGCAGATTAAATGGAGTTTATATGAGAATTTAAGCATTTGAATGAAAGAAATCATTTAACCTTAAAGAATCCAGGTAGCCAAGATACCTTCTAGTAAAGAAAAATCATAAAATGACCAGGCAAAGCACGCTTATGAAATGAGAGTAAAAAAGAGGAAGAAGGCCCAAAACTTCCTTTCAGGATAATAAAAGAAGTGACATTTGATAATTTGATCCATAAAAGCATGCAGTATGAAAAGAACAAGAGGGACAGATAGAGGCAGCTCGCGTTAATTCTGGTAAACGGCAAATGAGGACTTAGTCATATTTGTGGGTAAATATAGCAAGGGCATCAAAAGCATGTTCTAAAATATGCAAGTTTGAACAAAGATAAGTAATAAAACGTATCAAAGTTGGGAGCCCTGGGTAGTTAAGGCTGAAAAAAAGTGTTGAAGCTATGGCGATTCAATAAAATAAGCTTAATTCACAATAGAATTTATCATAAAATTACTGCTAAATAAGAATATAGTGATTAAAACCCATACTTCTCAAGGCAGGATAAGCCCCTCGCAAGGCACAGCTTTAATGAATAATTAACTGGACAAAAACACTGTTGAGCTGACTTTCATTTCGTGTGAAAATGTGCGATAAACCAATTCGTAGGTTGATCACATAAAAAAACAACAAATAATTCCTATTGGCATAGCATTTTTTTAATTTTACAGGAAAATTCAGGTTGGTGTAGTTCTTCGGAAACACTCTTCCGGTCCCAGA